ATAAGTATTTCTTTGCTAATTTACTTAAATTTTGAAAGCCTTTTTCTCATTCTTTCCACCATTCTAAAGGTCGAGTTAATGGTGATGCAAGTGGCGCTTCTAAATATTTATCCAGTTCATTCTTAGTATTTAATAGATTATTATCATCGTTATCATCAAATATTGATACAAAATAACAGTTAGTTGAAATAGTACTGGTGGAAGAAGTGAATCGTATAGGTATTGTATCAGTAATGCTATCAAGTTCTTCACAGCATATTCTTATTGTTTCTTCACATAGATAACTAGGCCAAAGATGCATTCTTTTAAGCCGAGGGTCAAGTAAAGTAGCTAAAAGACCAGTATACTTTGGTTTATCCCAATATTTCCAAAGAGAATTATAAATTGCTTGCTTAACACAAGCAATTATCAATTGGATATCATAAGTTTCTAGTGTTTGAGCCTCTTCATTATCACTATTGCTATCACTATCTAATTATAAAAAAAAAAAGGTAAATATTATTATTATATTTTGGTGGTAACTTATAATAAAAAATAATAATTATTATTAAAATTTCCCATATTCTTCATTAAAATCATTCTCAATTGAAGTTAAATTTGGATTTGTTGCAAATTCAAATTTTAAGACTTCAATAATAGGATACACAACCGACAATGTAGGGTACTTTTCAGCACTAAATGCTTCAGTAGCTTGATCGAATGGTTCGAAGACCTTAACTAATTCTTCAATTAACCTCCATTCGTTTTCATCAGGTAAACAGCAAGCGAGATTTTGTCCGTCTTTTTTATCATCTAAATTTCGTGAAATTTTTAAATTAGCCTCTAACCATATGATTGCATCCTTTAGTTTTAAAAGCCTTTCCCAAGACTTATAGGTGGAGTTCCACCTAGTTGGGCAATTTTTAAGTAGACAAAGAGGTTTTGAAATAACATTTATATTTAGTCATTCTGTATCTGTACTAACCTCATCATTAACTTCGCCAGGATCTTCTTCCTCAAAATAAGATTCAGTATTAATTAAATTAGGTGAAGGTAATCTATCTCTCTCCATTACTTTTATTTGAGTCTTTTCTAGTCTTTCTTGTTGCTTAGGCAAATCAAAGAAATTAACTAACTTTCTTATTTTTTTAGTTTTAGAGTTAATTTTTTTTAAGAAAGAACTAACTGTTAACTGTAGAGTATGCACTGCACATGAAAGCCAGGTAATGGTGTTCTATAATCGAATAGCTTTTATTATGTTTGTGCCATTATCAGTAATGGCGCATATAATTTTATTTTCTAAATTATATTTAGAACACTTTGTTTGAATAAATTGATAAATAGATTCTGCAGTATGTGGGTAAAATAATTTTTCACAACATAATAGTATGCTGCGTAATAACCAGTTAGGAGTTACCCAATGACAAGTAACTCCAATATAGCCTTGGTTATTATGCGAAGTTTACAAATCAGATGTTATTGTAGCAGTTTTGCAGGATAATTCAATCTTATGCCAAAGAGTATCAACATTTTTTAAGTAACTAAATGTTATTTCATTTCTTATTACTCTATCAGAAGGTGGGCGAAACTTCAGATCAACTTTCGCCATTATGCGACGAAATCTTTTTTTTCTTAGTGCTAATAGTGGTTTATTATCAAGAAATATCCATTCGACAACTTCTTTATTTAATTCTCTTTGCTTATTGCTCTTATGTGAAGTATTAGATTGGATCATTTCAGTTAATGTAGCTTGCCTATTTTGTTGTATTTCAGATTTTAGTTTTTTATTATCTACGATATTATGCAATCTTAGATGAGCAATCATATTTGATGTTGAATTGTCATGGAAGTATTCCATTTCACATTTTTTGT